AAGAAGAAAAAAAGAAAACCCTACAAGAAAAGAAAACTTTGAGAAAAAAAAGAAAACCCTAAGAAAAAAAAAAGAAAAACAAATCCGAAGACTGAGGAAACAGGAGATTTTTGCAGAATAAACGCTACACTTCGGATTTCCTTGGGGATACAGCGAGGCGGTGGTTTTTCTCCAGCAGTCAGGACCGCCGGGCAATGACACGCAATGACACCACCGCTCGCTCTGCCTCCCGAAGATCCTCCGTCCCCGCGCACAGCTCCGTCCCTCCCGCAGGACGCCGCTCCAGGCACCGCCGGCCGCCCCGCGGACCCCGAGCATCCTTGAGGTCCGGGTCACGCCGCGCCTCCCCTCCGGCAGATTACGGCCTCCCCCCGGGCTCGCAGCATGACCCCGGGCCGCGGCTTTGCGGAGCTGTCACAAACGACCCGTGACGCCGTCGGCCTGCAGGAGGGGGGCGGCCGCAGCCTGGCCCCGCTGCGGGCCGGGGAGCCCCGCGGGGCGGCCGGCGGGCCATGGCGGTGCCGGCGGCGGTGCTGCTGATGCTGCTGCTGCTCGCTGTGCTCGTGCCCCTGGCCGGGCTGGTGCTGGGCACCGTGCTGCTCGGACTGCCCAGCTACGACATCCCGGCCGGGGTGAACCAGCCTGCCAAGCTGCGCCTGGTGCTGGCCGTCCTGCTGGGCACGGCGGCCCTGGTGAGTGGGGCGGGTCGGTGGGTCGCGAGCCGGGAGGACGCGGGGATCGGGGCCGTCGGGGCGACGCTCGGGGCTGCGGAGGACGGGGAAGGCCGGCATCCGTTTGGGCAAAGCTGGTGTCGCGATGCGGGGCGGCACGCCGGGCTCGCAGGCAGGTTGGCGAAGGGCGGCGACGATGCGAGCCGCGGAGCTGAGCCGGCGATTCGTTGCTAAGTGCGCCGGGCTGGGGGCGAAGTCACCTTGCCCAAGGAACGGCCCTGCAACTTGCTCCTGCCACCGCTGACATTTATGGGACCAAATCCGGTTAGGGCTGCTTTACTTAATCCCTGGACTCACTTTTACAGCGTTGCATAAACGGCATTAGAGCTCTGCTCAACTCTTCCTCTCGCACTTTACAGCTCCTTTGAGTTGTTTAAAAATCTCCTCCGCTCCTTTCGCCACAGCGTTCCCTTTGCTGACTGCGCACATCCCGCCCTCCTGCAGCTGCTTACACCACATCCATGCCCTCGCAGCGGGCCCTCCTGAGTCCTCCCACAGCGTGGCAAGGGGACGGATAAAGAAACGCCCTCATGAAGCATTTTTAAAGCGGGCATCTTGCTCAGCACGATGCACCACGCTGTGTTTGAACCCCTCCGTGTTGTTCCCACCTTCCCCTCATCCACTCCTTGCAGCAGGTTTATATTCCAGCCCAGCGCATTGCAGGAGCATTGGGAAGGGATGCATGCTTCTGTTCATTGCTGTTGTGCAAATAAAACCAATAAAACTTGCACGATGCCTCTCAGCATTAAGCATTTACGAATCCACCAAGCTTTATTCAAGAGTATTGGTTTGTGCAATGAAGAGCTTTGTAAGAGTTTATGAGGATGTTTCTGTGTATTTAATTTAATTGCTCTGATTAAGTGTAAATAGACCAGAATGAGCACTGAGGTGTGCTGGGCAAGACTGATGATTAAAATACATACTCCAGGATTGCCAATTTGGATAGGCTTTATAAAATGTGTAATGTGACATGAGTACAACGGTGGATTTAAGTAAAGGAAGTAGGATTTTTACTCACTGTAGGAAGTGAGAGCTTGGGAAATCTGTTTTTCCTGAATGAAAGAGCTTTATTTTTATCAGACAACTGATAAATTCTCCAACTGCCGTCTGTGAAGCCTGGACTTCCACATCTGATTCTTTAGAATACGATCTGGAAGATTCCAGATGATTTAAGGTAGAACTTCCCTCCTTGGTAGGCCGAATCCAGGTATGGATATGGTTGCTTTTTGACTTTATCCTGAGATCTCACACTTTCTTGGAAGTGAGCATTCTTATCAAGAAAAGCAATCCAATACTTGAAGGGAGAGTATAAGCAGGAAGGGGAATGGCTGTTTACGAGGGTGGATGGTGATGGGACAAGGGGGAATGGTCTTAAACTGAGACAGGGGAGGTTTAGGTTGGATATGAGGAGGAAGTTTTTCACTCAGAAGGTGATGAGGCACTGGCACAGGCTGCCCAAGGAGGCTGTGGATGCCCCATCCCTGCAGGCATTCAAGGCCAGGCTGGATGTGGCTCTGGGCAGCCTGGGCTGCTGGTTGGTGACCTGCACACAGCAGGGGGTTGGAACTGGGTGAGCACTGTGCTCCTTTTCAAGCCAGGCCATTCTGTGATTCTATGATTCTATGAGTTGCCAAGTTGCATTTCCTCATTGTTTTCCATGTGTTTGTGAAGGCAAAAAAATGACTAAAAGACCAGTGAGAATGAACTCAATCTGTAGAATACAAGAAGCCATTTAGACACAGTGTAGGAGGTGCTTTCATAGCCATTATCTTCTTCTCTCAGTGGTCTTCATGGTAGTTATTCTAACTTCTTATACTGTGATCATTACCTTTTTTTATAGAACACCAACGGGTGATGTGGAGCTTTTTATATGTTGGCTAAACCAAGACTTTTAAAAAGGCCTCAATTCTTAACTTTGAACAGGGAAGGATTTTGGAGAAGACAGGACTTTGCAGCCAAATCACTTTTGGCCGATACGTGCGACAAGGATGGAGGCAGAGGGTGGACCCGAAGCTGTTTATCCAGGATCTGCAGTTTAACAAAGTACCTGTGAGGGTGTATCAGCCAAAAGCCACATCTCATGGGCGAAGGAGAGGTATCCTCTTCTTCCATGGAGGAGGATGGGTGTTCGGAAGTCTCGGTAAGACATTTGCTGGAGGAATTGTAGTAACTTAAATATAACATTTTCATGTTTTCATTGTATTGAAAGAAGAGGAACTTTCAGCATGGGATTTTGGAGAAAGCATGAGGTCAAATAAACACCTTCCTAGAAATGAACACCCCTTCCATGTCTCAAAGACAAAGCACTCACGAAAGCCTTTCTTTTCCAGATACCTATGAAAAAGTGTGCCGCTACTTATCCAGAGAAAGTGAATCCGTAGTTGTATCCGTTCAGTAAGTCAACCCGACCCAGTCCTACTGCTCAGAGATTACTGCTGCTGGGGTGCCACACAGAGCTGCACTGTTTCTCGAGATGTTATTTTTTACAGAGAAATTTCTAAAGAATTCAGCATAGGAAAAGAGACAAATAATGATAGCTGTGATTTCCCAGCGCGTAGCTGTTAACGCACTGACACACCAGGAAGGAGATACATGGCACACAAAGGAAATCTAATTTAAAACTTAGGTAGAACAAATCTTCTTTGTGCTGAACATGTGAACATGTAACAAGATGCTCCAAATGTTTGTAATTTACACAAGAAAGAGAATAATCATGCTGTGTTACTCCCATTTTACACATAGGAAATAGAGGCAAAAAATCATTAAATTATCTTGTCATGAATACGTAGCACAATGAAGAAATTAATTAAAAAAGCTCATTGTTTCTTAACAATTCTTGTAGCTGAACACACAAGTTACGTCTTATCTGCAACCACTAGCTGGGAAATGCCTGCTCAGGAGGTAATGAATTGGCTTGAAGGTAGTGTAGGATAAAACTCCCTGATTAACACTAATGATATTTCCTTTTCCTGTACTTGTCTGTTATGCATTAGGTATCGTTTAGCTCCTGAGCACAAATACCCTGCTGCATATGAAGATTGTCTTAATGCCACCGTACACTTCATGCGGAGTACAGAGCACTATGGGGTGGATCCTGCCCAGATCAGTGTCTGTGGGGACAGTGCTGGGGGCAATCTAGCGGCTGCTGTTAGCCAGACCCTGGCAGGCAGAGCAGACCTCCCCAGGCTGCGTGCTCAGATCCTGATCTACCCAGGCCTTCAGGCGCTGGACTTCAATTTGCCATCCTATCATCAGAATCGGGGAGTTCCTCTCTTATTCCGGGAACGCGCTGCTTTCTTTGCTTTGCAGTACTTAAACGGGGATGCATCGCATATGCAGGAGGTCCTGAAGGGCTCTCACATCCCTCCAGATATGAGGCAGAAGTACAGGAAGTGGGTGAGTCCCGATAACATCCCTGAAGAGTTTAAAGTCAGAGGAGTGAAGCCACTTAACCCCACTGATTTTATGGCTGAGGTTTATGAGACGGTGAAGCGGTTCTGTGAGCCCAACCTGTGCCCCCTGCTAGCTGAAGATGCTGTTGTTCACCAGCTGCCCGAGTCCTTCATCTTGACTTGTGAATATGATGTGCTGAGGGATGATGGCTTGCTGTACAAGAAGAGGTTGGAGGACAACGGAGTCCAAGTGACCTGGTGCCACCTCGAGGATGGGTTCCATGGAATCATAAGCCTGTATGATTATGGTGGGTTGTCATTTCCATCTGGGAAAAGGGGATTGGACAGCGTTGTTAACTTCCTTAAGGGCTTATAGTAAAACATCTTAGATTCCACGAGTCTGTTCATGCCTCAATCTAGAAAATATCTTTTTAGGATATTTAATATCAGGTGATGGATAGTCATTCAAAGGCAGCCATTAACGATGACAAACATGGCTCATGTGAACCTCATTCCAGCTCTTAGTTGGAAAATGGAATATGCAAATATTATACATATGCTGCAAGCCCTTATCCTTAGGTATGTCAATAAATATGAACGTTATTTTGAATGGATTTCTTGGTTTGTCCCACTTGCTTACAATAAAATCCGTCTTTCCACCTGTGAAGACAGGCTGTCACACAGATATGTGTGTTGTGTTGGTGTAAATGAGTAAAAGACATCGCAGAGTTTGGATGCGTTGTGCTGTGACTGTGAACTCTGCATGAGGAAAAAAGATGGTAGCTAACCTGAGTGGGTGAGGAGCCACTGGTTTGCTCAGCAATAACTGTGATGCAGCTTAGAACGTGGTTACTGGAATGGCAGTCACCGTGGGGACAGCAAACAAAAATGGCCTCAAGGCAAAGCAGTACCACACACAGCCCACTTCCCAGCATGACAGAAGAAGAAATGGAGCTCTTCTCTGCCCTGCTTTTAGCACCAAGCCGCATTACTGGAGTGACAGTCATTGAGCAGCCAGGGAAGATAGCGCTGGTGAGACAAAGAAATACGACTGAACCAAAAAAAGATGGAGAGGATTGGTGGAACGTTCAGCCCAAGTATTCGGCTAAAGTTCTCATTGGAAACTGGCTGGAAGAGAGAAAAAGGGTAAGGTTGGGAAGGAAGAGAGCAGGACAGAGGGGGTCAGAAGCCACGCTCTGCAGGCTGTACAGCACTGCAGTGTGAGCAGCTCAGGACAGCAACGAAGGGGAGAAGGATAATTATCTTACTCGTAGATTCATACATTTTATAATCTGCTGTTCTTCTCTACGTGCCAGGACAAAAGCAATGCCCAGGCATGCAGAATACGATATGACATTTGCCATGTGCCAGATATAAAACTTGCCAATTAAAAGCACCGTGGCCTCTTTGATGGCAGCCTCTTCAGAATGCTGTGCAATTTACCACGTACAGCACGCACCACCACATAACATTCAAATATACAACTTCACACAGCCCAGAACGATAGAAGTTTTGTTAACACCTCGATAAGTTGGTACTTACTGCTTGTATCTTTGGATCCTTACTAGTCTGGATGTCAGCACTTTTGCTAGCAGAGCTACTCTACAAATTACACGTCCTACTTAAGACCTGAGCAAATTTTATCAGTAAGCATTTAATTCTTGTTAAAACATTCTAGTTAGGTTTGATAATTGGAGCTATTAGGGCAAATGCTCCTGACTCCAATAAAATAACTTTTTTTGTTGTTGTTCTGACAGTTATGAAATCTGATGTGATCACAGCACATTATGCAGAAATAAAGAAATCCACGATGTATTTCTTTAGGTTAGGAATGAGGTTGAAATAAACTGGAAAGTAATGAGAACTCTTTGTGGTAATGGTGACAGAGCTCTGGAACAGATACCCAAAGAATATTAAGAAAAAGCCCTTTGTAACCAAAGTGAGCAGCTGGGGAACAGTTTTCCCAAGAAGATGTTCAATTTTTCTGCATTTCTTCAACTGACCTGGAGCAAAATGCTTTTCAGATGTTAGATCACACAGCAGGGGATGGTATTTAACACCAAACCATGAGCAATTTTTCAATGGCTATTACAGTATCTTGCATTAACACCAAGGAATCAGAATAGAATTTTACAATGGCCGTAGCATAGATTTCCTTTCAAATAAGTGCTTTTTAATGCACAGATGATAAAAAGTAGCAGAAGAACAGAAGTTCTGTAATCATCAGGTTGCCTTTGCTATCTCCTGAGTGCTCTGCATCTCTCCAGTTTATAAAACCCTGTGGGAAACTTGGCTGCAGCGTGTACAGCACAGACTTCACTCACTTCCCAGATCACAAACCAGAGCGAACACTAAGAACAACCATGATGAAGAAATACGAGGTAAGTAAAAGAGTTTCCTATGTGGGGTTCTGTGTGCTATTGTACCAAATAGCAATGACTTATAACCAACTTAAGTCACATTTCATATCCTTAAAGAAATGCACGTGCAAAAGAATGCACTCAGCTCTGGTTTAGTGGGCAGTGTTGGTGGTAGGCGGATGGTTTGGATTAGATGACCTTTGAGGTCTTTTCCAGCCTTAACGAGTCCATCATTGTGGGCTGCTTTGCAGGATCCAGAGCTCCCTGGCATTACTGGATGGAAGCAGGGTGGACAAATCACACCTCATGCTATGCAGATGTAGTTGCTTAATTTAACTGAAAATTTACCATAGCTGAAAGGCGAATGTCCTTATTCTTGGGCATTAAGTTGCAAGTAAAGGTAGTGTAGGTATCACGGCATTTTATGTTATCGCTGGTAGCGCAGTGTGACTCAAAAGCATGCTAAGCCTGTGGATGCTGTGCATGTTGCAAATGGTTCAACATACATCTCATTTCAGGGCCTGCCAGCACAGCACTTCTTCACACACCACGAGGAGCCGAGGAGCCGGCATTTAGTGTCAGAGTATGAGGATAACTACAACAGACATGGTTATGTTCCCTTCCTGCCTCCCCTCCGCAGCTGGAACGGACGCAAGTTTGCATGGGTTCCTCAGAAATCAGAATTCCCCATTCTTGGTAGTTTTTGGTATTATGAATTTAAAAAAAAAAAAAAAGATGGGACATAGTGGTCAACATACCAACTTAGAGCCCCTCCTGTTATAAAAATCATTTTAAAAGTGGATTTTGCAGTGTGCCTCTGCTACAAAGCAATGCTGTGGGAGCTGAGCTTGGTCAGCTTGGAGGTGAGAAGGATCTGAGAGGAGCCTTCCAGTGCTTCAGGGATTTATAAGCAGGAAGGGGAGTGACTTTTTACGTGGTGTAATGGTGGTAGGACAAGGGGAATGGCTTTAAACTAAAGCAGGGGAATCAGCAGAGGAGAGTTGGGTGGTCTCTAGGGTCCCTTCCAACATAAGCTGTTTTATGCTTCTGAGATCACTATGTCTCTGAATGTAAAAGTTACGTAAATCTCTGCTAACTTCTTTAATACCGATCACAGAGACAATGGAGAATCAGGATTCCTTATATTGGTATCATGACTGTTTTCCTAGCAGTACTTTAAGTACTAACAGTGATTCCCCCCGGGCAGATGGACACACCTGGGAACAACCAGACTGCTGTTTTGTCCTTAATCTGTTGTCAAAATAATAGAACACTCCTGATGCCCACTGCAGATTAAAAACACCAGGGCCAAGATTTTAATTCTACCATTTATAACACGTCATCGCTTCTTGTCTCAGAACCACCCACCAACTACGGACTTCTCGAGCACCTGAAGAGAAAATGGCACAGGAAAGAAGCTGGAGTGATGAGCAGCACCTACACCATTTCCTATGAAAAGCCACCAACGTCAGCTTTTGCTCCGTGCCAGTTCAGACGTGCAGCTAAACCTCACGGCCTCTCCTCCAAGAGGGGACAGCTTCCCCGTGTTAGCAGAATCCTGGACTATGAAGGGGGTCAGAGATACCTGCAAGCCCTCAGCCAACTAGTGAGAGACAGAAAGGCAAGAGCTGCCTCCATGTAAACAGCTTAGTGTGATCTTAAGCACTACTTAATACAGCTTGTTGCTGATGGACGTAAGAGTGATCTGTTCCATGTGGAAGGAATGGGAATTAGGTTATATGGTTGGAGGGCTGGCTGCTAGTTAGAACACGTTGCTGGATTACATTCTAAGCTGCAGATGGCTGGGAATATTCCTTTAACAGGAGATATTAATACTCTACGTATGTGTCAGCATCTAGTCAGTGGGTAGCTGCATTAAAGAACACAAAGTGAGGCAGCACCTAATAGCATATAAATCCCTTAGCTGTATTTACTTCAGTTATTTCATTTTCATGCAGCTTGCTACACATTTCTTTAAAGAAAGAGGAGAAAAGAAGCTTGTATTATTTCATTTTATGTCTGAAACGTCCAAGAGCAAATTAAGCACACGGAATGGCTGACTACCTAAGGACAAGGTGAAGCAAGGTTTGCACCGACGCAGTCAGCAAGCAGTCCTCAGCTGCCCTTGGCTTTGCATACTGAATGGCACTTAATGGTAGGTAAGCTGCAAAGTAAACTACATTAGCTGGCCTTACATTACCGAGCACTGAACCCAGAAGATACAGCAGTTGTGGCCTTTGCATTGCTGTATGGGGCACCCTGGTACTTAGTGCTGACAGAAGTCCCTGTTCTTGTTGCACTTATGTGGAAGTTTTGCATTTAAATCATGTTCATGATCTGCAGGAGATCAAGATTCAGCTGCTGCTGGTCTGAGGTTCAACAATAAATCTGCAACAACTCAAAGGCCTTGATGAAACATATCTGTAATTAATTCCATGCATGTTTATGGTTTCCTTCATCTATTTTGCTGAAGGTTAGCAATATTATAATCACTTTTAGGCACAAGATAAAGCATATTCGTTTCTCATGGCCTGGACAAACCTCTGGCCATGAGTTCTAGCTCTGCACAGAGGTGCACTTTTAGTCACCACGATTTAGTTTTGTTTTTTCAAGGTTGAACTGATTCAGAACTGAAGGACGTTGATGATTCAGGCACAAATACACGGAGCAACAGTGGCACCTATTGGCAAAGTGATTCTCCACCAACCTTTGGGAGACGTTTGCCAGCTGGATGCAGACCTCAGCTGCCTGCATCAGAAAGCAGCACCATTACTGAGTTCTTTTAGAGAAGCAAGAGCCCTGGTAATTACATACAGCAGTATGTAGGGCGGGGTCTCTTTGGCTTCCAAGCCTTAGGAAATTGAAAATAGGTGAAAAGAAATCAGTGAACCACAGCCAGCTCTTAGCACTGTGCTAGGAAGAACATATTCCCTTGAAAAAACATCTTGAAAAGAATTGATAAAGAAGGGGATGGAAATTGGAAGATAGAATAATTCTAGTATCTGTAAGGAAGTCCATTCAGATTCCTTTTATGGTCAGTAGGGCCACAAAGAGTATATTTTTTGTTTGTTATCCATGTACTAAAATCTGAATGAAAATACAAACCAGGTATCTTAATAAAAACACGAAGCCCATACACTATATGGAATGCAGGTCAGACAAGTATACACAGATATTCTTCATTTCACACAATCCTACCAGTTTGTTTAAAAATATGCTCATCAACCCTTCAGAAGTATTAAATATTCATAGTAAATCAAACATTTATGATTGTTATCTATCTTAGTGCTTCTAAAACCAAAGCTGATCTGTGAGAAGCAACGAGCTGCTGGAGATACAGGGAATTACTGAGACGCACAAGTGCTGCCCATGAAATGTGTATAAAGCACTCATTCCAAACCTGCAAGCTGACTGGGCAGGGCTCCCCAGGCACAGCTCTCATCCCTCCAACCACCGAGCCATTTACAAGTAAAACACTGTGACACCCAGAGGAACCAGGCATAGCACGCTAGGCAGCTAAATGGATGAAATGCATTTTGATAGAGAGCCTCTTACTACAAGAAGGCACAACTCTACAAGACGTGTCAATTTTGATTAACAACACCTGGCAGAAAAAGGTTGGCTTTGAACTGTTGAAGTTATTAACTGTTTTCACTTCAGCAATGCTAAATGCACAGCAAAGATAACCAGCTTTCTGGCAATGCGAGCCTCCAAACCTGCTGAACTTAAGCTAAAAGAGGACAGATTTAGATTGGATAGAAGGAAGAAGTTTTTTGCAGTGAGGGCAGTGAGGCACTGCACAGGCTGCCCAGAGAGGTGGTGCAGACACCCAAGGTCAGGGAATGGGGCTCTGATGGAGCTGTGGGTGTCCCTGCTCAGTGCAGGTTGGACCTGATGGCCTTTAGGGTCCCTCCCAACTCCAACCATTCTGTGGTTCTATGATTCTTCATCTTTATAGCAGATGCTTTGCTCAAACATTCTACAAATCAAGATTTCAGACAGAATAGATGATAATAAGACTTAATTGGTCTTAATAGTGGAGCTATTGCAGAAAGCACGTTTCTTAAACATGTAGAATAGATAACATTTATTCTAGGACACTCAGTTATTGTAATCCACAATTCATTACTGTATGACAAACACTTTGGGAGTCCTGGAATCATTGCAAAATGCAAAGGATTACCCAATGATCAAGACAATAGAAAGTTGCCCAATCAGGCATTACTATGAAACATCACTGTGCCAAACGTTTTCTTCAAATGCAAATTATTTTGCAGATGTGTCACATTCATCCAGGCTTTTCTTGAAGAAAAAACCACCACCACCTTGTTTTAGTGTCAGGGCTTCTTTAGTTACACTCACTTGTGGCTGGAAAGCATGAATGCAGTGGTCTCTTCAATTCTGTACACAACAACTGGGTGCTTTGGAACAACTCCCTGTTCTAAAAACATCCTAGACAGCCCTGCTTGCATGAAATCAGCCTCGTCTGTGAACTTTTGTGACATTACAGAGACAAGGTGGTAGCTGGAATTGACGCGTGTCTCTCAAGTGAACAGATTTCTTGCCTGGAAGGAGAGCAGTGTCAGGCTGGATGAGCTGCAGAGACAAGAAGCTCGATTCTTTGGACTGAGCATCTCAGCCAGTGTTGGGACTCAAACAAGGAGCAGTGATGCTGGTTGGCAAGTTGTGCAGGAACTGGGACTGTGGATGCCAGCTGGGAAGGGAGAGTGGTTACAGAGCAGAGAAACAGGCTGTTGACAAGAGGTTTGCTGGGCAGGAGGCCTCTTTCAGAATGTTATAAATATTCACTGGAAGGTGCTTATAAAGTCAGTTTTCAGGTAAAACAGCTTCACTGGGCTGAATTTAAGCCCTAGCTAATGAGGATACAATGCCTGCCAAGTGCTGTCCTCCAGAGCTGCACACACCATGGCACTGGTCAAGCAAGTATAGCTCCTGGGAATGGGGTTCAGAGTGACCCAGCTCTGTAAGGACAGAATAAAGCTTTCTTTGGTGGCAGCCACACATTTCTGGCAAAGCTTGCCCATGTATTTGAACATGTACTTTTTGCACTGGTGACAAAAACACTGACTTGCCATTAGTAGCTAGCAATTCCTTTTTCAGAACCATGGTTTCATGCTGTTTGCTGAACTGACATGGACCGATCAGATCTTAGAAGACACCACCTTCAGCCTGTGCCACCGACATGCTTTATTCCTGTGGGTTTCAGCAGATGTCAGCTGTAGTACATTAATGATGGTAATCCTCCTGCCATATTGGAGGGCACCAGTTCAGGAAAAATCCATTTCCTAGCTTTTAAAAACAATTTGGTCCTTCTTTTCTAAACAGCATGGCTTCCCTCATAGAAATTCTGTCCTGTCACTGAGTTGATGAAGAGTCCATAAACTCCCCAGAATGTGACACAACCTTTTTGAAGACTCTTCCTTAATCCAAACTCCATTTCTAAGGAGCCTCCTGTCTTTGAGAACAGCTACACTGAGTGCTGCAGCATGCCACGAACCTGGGCTGTGCTACGTGCTGCCTGCAGTGAAGACATCCCTTTTGTTCTTCCTGTTTGGTGTTTTCTTATGATTGAAAATCTGTTCCAGTTCAAAAGGCTGTTAGCATGAGAGCTTCTCATAAAGGCAATTATCCCATCAGTGTGAGGTATTGAAGAACTGCAGTAACCACAAAATAACTGCTGAGCTCGTGGGTGAAGAGAATTCCGTGCTGGAAATAATTTTGCAGTGGCAGTGATGGGGGGCATTCACTTTGGATACTGAAGGACCCGACTTCTATTCAACAATGGCCCATAAGTAAATGGATATATAAGTAAAATACTCCTTGTTTTGGGGCGATAACGTTTGCTAAGGAGGAAAAAATCTCCAGGCACAGTGGTTTTTAAGAGAAGCTGTTTATCATCACATGCTTTTCTTCTCTGAGTTGCAATGGCCCCTGAGGACACCAGCTTCCTTATGTCAGACTCACACAATGCAGAGACAGCCCCTGGCCCTGAGAGCTCCCTGATGGCACTGGCTCATTGTAGGACTGGCTGCATAAACACATACTTACCTGATCCAGTGCTGTAAATATGTAATTGAGGCTGCTGCCTCACGGCATATTTTATGTCTAATTTAAGGAACTGTATATTTGGATAAGGGAGTCCGGATGTCTGTCAGGTAAATGTTACGAGCTGTAAATTTTCACAGCAGATTTAACACTAAATTTAGTCAGCTCTATATTTAAAGAGCACATTGACCTGATGGCAGCCCTTGTCCTTGACAGTCGTTGGCTTGAGAGATAGTTAAGGATCCCTGGGAGAATGCTGCTGGTCTCCCTTAGGCTTCGCACAGCTCCCTCCTGCGGTGGCAGCCCCAGCATCCTCCAGATCAGTGCCTCAGCAGAGTGGGGGCTCAGCCTCATCCTCCCCACTTCTCCTCAAGGTAGGGGACACTCATGCCAAGCAGAAAAGTGCGTATGGAGAATGGGCTTGGAGGCCGTGCATTGCCTAAGCTTCCTCTGCACACCAGCCTAGCAGCCAATACAGAGAAAATCTCAATTATTACTTTTAGAAAACAAAAATAAAGCAACTTGGAATACCGACATCGATACAGAAGCTCTGGCTTTCCATGTGCAAGCTGCTGA